TCTTTTGTTAAACAATAAGGTCAGGGGCAACTCCTCGCATACCGCGCCTTACGCACTGGAAACCGTATTGGGCTATGTGATCCTTGGCTCCGCCCCCATCCTAGATAGTATTTCGGCAGCCTCTTATTGTGGTATGGCTGTCGAACCGCTCGAGTCGTTAGTCCGCAAATTTTGGGAGATGGAGGAGGTGAACGTCCCACCCATAGCTAGTTCAGCTGACAGGATATGCGAGGAAATTTACGTCCGCACGACCGTTCGTGATCGCGACGGTAGATATAGTGTAGCGCTACCCTTTAAGGGAGATGTTTTATCTCTCGGCGATTCGCGTCAAATGGCGGAAAAACGTTTCTACAGCTTGGAGCGTAGGATGCTCGCTTCGCCCCAGTTAAAGGAAGCTTACGACGGCGTCATTAACGAATATATAAGAGAAGGTTACATATCACTTGTGGCTTCGAAATTAGATAACTACGAAGACACACCGTCGTATTTTATACCACACCACGGAGTCATTAGAGAGGACAAACTTACATCTAAATTACGTGTAGTGCTCGACGCTAGTGCTAAAACTAGCACTCACCTGTCGCTTAACGATATCCTCTATAGTGGGCAAAATTTACAGGGCAGTTTATTTGATATAATAGTCAATTTTCGTTTGTTTAGTATAGCACTATCCGCCGATATTCGCCAAATGTTTCTTTGCATAGGGGTCCGTGAATGCGACCGTAGATTCCAGCGCATTTTATATCGTTTCAACCCAAAGGAACCTCTAATGGTGTTTGAATTTAACCGCGTTTGTTTTGGTTTAAAGTCGAGCCCATTTCATGCGTTACGCACGGTGAGACAGCTCGCTCACGATGAAGGTCCCTCTTATCCTAAAGCTAAGAGGGCAATTGAGAGCGGATTATATATGGATGATTTTGTGTATTCGGTCGATAGCGTGGAGGAGGCCACCCTAACCACCGCCGAGGTTATAAGGCTCATGAAATCGGGTCAATTCGATCTTGTGAAGTGGACTAGTAATTCGCGTCCGGTTTTAGATACAATCCCACTATCACACCGTCTTTCGGCGATAAAGGAATTCGACGATTCCGATACACACAAGGTGCTCGGTCTGTGTTGGTCACCAGAGTCCGACGTGTTTAGCCTTAAGGTAAATCCGCCCGTAGAGAAATGCACAAAGCGCACAATACTGTCATGCGTTGCTAGATTATGGGACGTCATGGGTTTCGTAGCTCCGGTGGTATTATACGCTAAGCTTTTGATTAAACAACTTTGGTTATTTGAATGCGATTGGGATGACTCGCCGCCTGACAGCATTGTTCGATTGTGGCAGCGCTTTAGAGAGGAACTTCCTTTACTAAGAGAAATTAAAATACCGCGTCATATAAATGTCGATAGAAATAGCAGCATAACGGTTGTTGGATTTGCAGACGCCAGCGAGAAGGCTTACGGGGGCGTTGTATATTTCCATGTCCAGAATAATAGTAGAAATTCGATTAGCCTCATTAGTTCTAAGTCGAGAGTCTCCCCCCGTAAGGTTGTCTCTCTGGCGCGCTTAGAGCTTTGCGCAATATTAGTACTCACCAAGCTTATTACCACAGTTATCGGCGCATGTAGGGATAGAGTTCACATAGAAAGAATATTTGCCTTTTCCGACTCCACCGTCGCCTTATGTTGGGTTCATTCTTCACCCCACCGTTGGGATACGTTTGTCGCGAACCGAGTGGCCAAGATCCAAGACGAGTTAGAAACGCGGAACTTTTATCACGTGTCCGGTAAGGAAAACCCTGCCGATTGTCTATCCCGGGGACTCACCCCGATGCAAATAATGGACCACCCGCTTTGGTTCCATGGACCTTCTTGGGTTCACTTGGATCCCTCACAATGGCCAATAACCGATTTCGAACCTTCGTCAGTGTCACAACCGCCGGAAGAGAAGAGACACGCTCTAGTGGCGAAAGTTTCGAGCGAGGTTTCTCCAATCATTGCTCTGGCGAACCGCTTGTCCTCTTGGTCGAAATTATTGCGTAGTGTAATTTACGTTTGTCGATTCGCGAAGCTTTTACCGCGACGTCCGTATGTCTTAGCATCCGATTACAACTATGCCGAGTCGCTAGTATTACGTGAACTTCAACGTGCGCACTTCTCTGAAGAAATTACAAGATTACAATCGAATAGAGCTTGTAGTCGCGCCTTTCAACGCCTTAAGCCATTTTTACAGGATGGGATTGTAAGGGTAGGTGGACGCTTGTCCAACTCGCAGTTGAGTTTCGACCAACGGCACCCTATAGTTTTACCGCGTAAAGACCATATCATGAACTTATTAGTCGATTATCATCATAAATTGAACTCGCACGCTGGCCCCGATTTATTGATGTCGATCTTGCGTCAGAATTATTGGATTCTTTCTGCACGTAGTTTAATACGCAATCGGGTGCACAGATGTATAGCTTGCTTTCGGGCATGCCCCAAGCCGTCATTTCCGGAAATGGCGGAACTTAGATCTTGTAGAGTGATACAATCGGTAAAGCCCTTCACGCACACCGGGTCTGATTTTGCTGGTCCGTTTAAGGTCACGCTCACTCGCGGGCGTGGTATAAGATCCACAAAGGCTTACGTCTGCATTTTCGTATGTCTAACTACTCGAGCAGTGCATATAGAACTCGTTGGTGATCTAAGCACAGCAGGCTTTATGGGTGCATTTAAAAGATTTCTATCGCGCAGAGGCCCTGTAAGTAGATTATATTCGGATAACGGTACGAACTACGTCGGTGCAAAACGTATTCTATCGGAACTACATGAGCTCTTAGCTAGCAAGTATTATAATTCGGAGTTCGCTCACATTCTAGCCGAGAACCGCATTGAGTGGTCTCTGAACGTCCCAGCCGCGAGTCATTTTGGGGGCAATTGGGAGACTAATATTAAAAGTCTAAAGAGCCACTTATATCGAGTAATAGGAGATCAAATTTTGTCCTTCGAAGAGCTAAGTACGGTGCTCGCTCAAATTGAATGCGTAATGAATAGCCGCCCACTTTGTCGGACGTTATCTAGTGACCCCTCGGAACCGCTGGCTCTAACTCCAGCACATTTTTTGACTTTAACGCCTCTAAGGTATCTGCCCGCCGCGGATATGGATGAGAACAGACTTAACATTTCCACACGCCACAAATTATTAGATCGGTTAGTGCAATCGTTTTGGAAACGATGGAGGATGGAATACTTGCATACTTTGCAGTCTCGGCAAAAATGGAACACAGCGACAGAGCCTTTAGCTGTAGGAACCGTAGTTGTGCTCACTAAGGAGAATACGCCGCCTCTCCACTGGCCGTTAGGAATCGTCGAGGAGGTCTTTCCCGGTTCCGACGGAGTAATTAGGATAGCTCGCGTTAAGACCACGGTTGGGTCTTACCTACGTCCGGTTATCCGTTTGTGCCCCTTGCCTCTTCCATAATTTAAATTAGCTTTTTAGACTGAAATTGTAGTTTAATTTAGGTAATCTTAGCGTTAGTTAGTTATTTGTTAGTCGATCTTAGCTCTAGTTGTTTAGTTATTTTTTTTGAAGGAAATCCTTCAAGGGCGGGGGGAGATGGTTGCGCGGAAAACCATTCGCGTTTTTTTTATTTTTGACGGTAGGAACTTGTCGAATCATTATTCCCTTCCGAAACAATATCATTCGTACCCTCCTATCGACACATCGGGGTGGTGGGGTGGGAGGGGAAAGAAGACGATTCTAGAACATCGCGTAATCATCGGACCCGAGGATATATAAGACACGCGCGACCGACGCGCGCCCTCTTCTCCCGCCGCAGTCGTCGTTGAACTACAACCTCCTCTTCCCGCGCGCTCGTTTAGTGGAAACCGCTTTGGCCTGGAAGCAGTCGAGCTCCAGGAACCCGCCTCACCTCGTGTGAGATATCGTCGCGCACCGCCTCTCTCCGGAGTGTTCCGGAAGTCGCCGCTATAGTGATCGACAGGAAGAAGAAACCCCGGTGAGTCAATATTCCTTAATTATACCTGCTTGCTAATAGTTTAACCCGCTCCTATCTGTGTTTTTTTCCTAGTCAAGCAGGATTCCTTTCATCGATTCGACAAGTAATAGTTTAGTTTAGGGAAGAGCGAGTGCATTGTACCGCATGCTATAGTAGTCGCTTTTAACGTAAGCGTAGAAGCAATCGCATATACAGTCCACTTTAGTTAATATCTCGCGTAATAGGTTTGAGGTTTGACCGGGGAACTAGATTTTCGGCAGCCTTAAACACGTGGCTCCACCAGTTTGCGTGAGGCAAAAATGGTGGAAAAAACAAAGAAAATTATTATAGAAGACTTTGAAACAGACATTTATTTTGCCTACATTATTGAAAATCAAATAATAATTAATCTAAACTACAACAGCTCAACTATTTGTACTGAAAGTGATTGAAAAATTTATTTTTAATCTATTTTAAATCAATTTGTACCACTTTGCCTCTATAAATAAGCAGTAACAATAAATATGAAGAAACTGATACATTTTATGTTTTAATTTATCTATTTCTAATGTATTCTGGTAGATATCGAAACAAAACTGTAAACTGTCGAAAGAATCGATATTTCTTACGAATCGAATACAGTACGTATCAATTTTTTTGTTCGCATGCCTAGTCAAATATCACAGAGTACCTTTCTATAAACTGACAAATATCTGACAGCTGTCAAAACCTCAAGAGTCGTCTCTGTCTACGGTCGAAAGGGATTTAATTCTATTTTCTTAGATTTATTCATAGAGGAAAGTAATATATCAGATTTACTGATTTAGTTAATGTTAATTTAAGGAAGTGCTAGGCTAGCGCAGTCATGCAATTATTTTGCTATTTTAGCTGTTATGCTAATAGATATGACTTTTTTTTAGTTTAGAACGCTTGTACAATATTCAAAAATAAACGCAAGCCCAACTTCAGATTTATATTTGTGCAATTTTATCTACATAGCAACTGCAGAATGATTTTGATATACATTTTACTATGGCAAATTGTTCTCATTGTGGCAAAGTGTTTAAATATGAAAGTGAACGTATAAGACATGAACTTAGTCATTTACCTAGATTTGGCTGTGAGGAATGTGAGAAAAAATTTACTTATATGTAAGAAAGTTATTGTCATTGAAATAAATTTTAAGGTATGCCTGATCTCTCACAATATTTTTATTCGGTTATTCCATTGCAGTTCAGCCTTAAGACGTCACCAAAAACAACATGAAAGAACTGAAAGTATTCAATGTGATAAATGTAGTCATAGTTTTAAAGATGAGATTCTTTTAAAGCGCCATATAAAGTATGCTCATGAAGGTAACAATATTATATCATTGAATGGAATGACTTGTACCAATATATATTTAAAATGTCACTTATGAGTTAATACTATTAAGGTAGTTGACATTCAATACCAATGTTCTAGTCTGCTTTTTTATTTACGGTATATATGATAGACCATAAATCTTTAAAGAAGTAATCAAATTTTTGTTAAGGGTTGATTGATTGCTTGAACTGGGATGGTTTCTTCAACTCCATGTCTGTGTATGTATTTATTGTGTGTGCAGGTAATATATAATGGTACCACCTTTTGAGGAATCGTAATTGTAATGTTACTAATGGCTTCAGGGAACAACCTTAGTAGTATATCGTATTTAGCACTGCAGCTGGCCACCACTAGGCATTTAAGTAGAATATGGGTTGCCTTTTCCTTATGCTCAAATCAAGCTCTCCACAGAGGGCTGTCTGTGACGTATTGAGTTAAGAGATGCTTATTGTGAGAGCCGTACTCTGTATAGTCTGTTCACTAAGATAGTGTTGGTACACCTTTTATTTTATTATTTTTTATTGTTTGTCAAATAAATGTTTTTCTATTCTAAGAATAAAATACTATTTTTTCTTATAGTTATTGTAATAAAATATAGCAAAGAACCTTTCACTATGGCATTAAGCGAACAGACTATAACAGCACTGGTGACCAGTTTCAGTAACCTTTATATATTAATACATTTTGCACAGTCTGGCCTTATCATTATCATCATTGCAGTCTATCAGTCAGCAGTCAGTCTCAGTCTTGTCTATAAATTGGCTCAAAGGGGGATAATTATTATAGTTATCATGTTTATTAGGCATGCTAGTACACACTACAGTTTTTTAATATATTGAGTTAATAACAGGAAGAGGCTGCTGTTCATTTCCTAATTCAGATTATCTCTGTTGTCGCTTACAACAACTACGGGATGATGGATCATAATATCTTGTCATCACTCAGTAAAAATAATAATAGTGAGAATATTTTTTTCAGGTACTTATATTTGTTCAGAATGTGGTGCCAAATTTAACAGCAAGCAGGCTCTGAGTATCCACATAATAACACACAAGCCAAAGTCGGAGAGGAAGTACCGGTGCAGTTATGCAAATTGTCATAAAGCATTTAACTTTTCACACCATCTAAAATATCACGAGATGACACATACAAATACCAGAAAGCACTTTTGCAAAATATGTGGGAAAGGTCTGTACTAAATTTTAACTTAAATTGTTATAGTACATTGCTTCCCCTTAGACAACTTATCTTTTCCATAGCCGCCTTTTGTGATTGTGACACGCATGCACGAAAATGGTCAATAAGTTTTTGGAATTGGGTATTTATCAATGAGTTATAGAAATGGTTTTATTTTAAAACTTAAATTCATTAGTAGCCAAACAGAAAAAGCTAAATTAAAAACTATAGTGTCCAATTTTTTTTAAAACTAATAAGTTGTGAAATTAATTCATTAGCAAAATAGATAAACTCAAACTTCGTGCAGTTAATAAATATTTCTGCCTGAAATTTTTTTCTGTATTTTGTATAAGTGTTTTTGAAGAACTGTAGTTTATTTTAGCAGACAATGATCCATCTTATTCTACAGTTGCGTATTGGTGCGCTGAATTTAAACACGACAGAACCGCCGGCAATGACGACCCTCGCTATGGGAGGCCAACAACAGCTACGATACTCAAGAATACATTTAAAAAAAAATCGAAGAAATTGTTAATGTAGATTGACGTGATGTAGGAATGTAGAACTTTCGGTTGGGACAATTTAGTTTATTTTTACTCATACTCTAAAATTCAAAAAAGAGGCCATGCACCGGGTTTTTTGAATGTTAACAGACGCTCAAAAAAAACAAGAGTTGATATTTAACAGCTAAATTTAGCAAAAATTGATGAAAAATGTACTTCGTCTTGTTGGCCTTCGTATAAATAATTATTAAACATCACAAAACTTTTTTAATGCTTAATGAGAAACTCTGTTCACAGGTTTTATTCAGTCTCACAATTTAAAAGTTCATATTATGAATATACATGACCCCACTAAATGGTTACCTTGTGAGATAACCAACTGCAAGAAAAAGTTTTCTTCAGAATATGCTCGAAAGAGACACCATGCTAGACACAGTGAGTTTATAAATAACTAGTATTTTTAGTATTTTATTAGACTATACAGATAATGGTGACTGAATGGCGTAGTAATCGGTGTCATTACGCCATGCAGATCAGCCCCTGGAGCTTGAAGGCTAGTTCGCATAACGGGTTTTGTCAGAGTTGAGGATGTACATAGTACCAAATAATAAATAACTGTTAAGTTAGTTCGGTATTCCAAATTTCACCCTTTTAAATAAAAAATGAATTTTTATTTTAACTATTTAGATGACATTCTAGTTGTTAACTTGGGCTTTTGATATAGCTTCGTCATCATCATCATTACAACCCTTCACAAGTCCACTGCTGAACACAGGCCTCCTCCAAGTAATGCCACAAAGCACGGTCCTGAGCCACCTACATCCATCAACTTCCTGCATGTCTTAACAGGTCGTCACTCCATTTAGTGGAGTCGCCCTACAATACGCCTACCGGTACGAGGCTGGCACTCGAGAACCTTTTTTCCTCATCGGTTATCGGTTTTTCGAGCTATATGGCTGGCCCATTGCCACTTCACCTAACTAATTCGTTGGGCTATGTCGGTCACGGGTTCTACTGCGAATATCCTCATTTCTGAGTATCACAGAGAAACCCCAAGCATAGCCCTCTCCATAGCTCGCTGAGCGACCTTGAGCGTCCTCATACGGCCAGCAGTGAAGGACCACGTCTCAGATCCGTAAGTCATCACTGGCAACACGCATTGGTTGTACAATCTAGTTTTCAGAGTTTGAGGTATACCTGACGAGAAGATGTGTCGTAATTTCCCGAACGCTGCCCACCCGAGTTGAACCCGCCGATTGACCTCTCGATTGCAGTTGGACTTACCTAGTCAGACTATTTGTCCCAGGTAAACGTACTCGTCAACAACTTCGAGTATAGTGCTCCCAACAACTACCGGCATAGGTGTGACATGGACATTAAACATGATCTTTGTTTTGTCCATGTTCATCTTAAGACCTACCCCTTGGGAGACCATTGAGGTCATTGAGCATAATGCTTAGGTCCTCCAGCGATTCTGCCACAAGGACTATATCATCGGCAAATCGAAGGTGAGTAATGTACTCGCCATTAATATTATTACCGTATCCTTTCCATTCCTGTAGATTAAAACGTCTTCCAATGCAGCGGTGAAGAGTTTCGGCGATATAACGTCACCCTGTCTTACACCTCTCTGCAGTTGGATAGGTTTGGAACTCTGGTTCTGTACTCGGATAGCCATCGTAGCGCTACTGTACAAACAGTTCAGCACTTCGATATACCGACAGTCAACTTAGCACCGCTGAAGGGACTGTAGCACCTCCCAAATTTCGACGGAATCAAAGGTTTTCTCATAGTTCAAATACGCTAGGCAAAGTGGCAGATTGTACTCTTCAGTTTTCTGTACAATCTGCCGCAGTGTATGTTTGTGGTCTATGGTACTGAAGCCTTTTCGGAAACCGGTTTGTTCGGGAGGCTGGATGTCGTCGAGTCTGCGTGAGAGACGATTCGTAATGACTCTCGAAAACAGCACGTAGACGCAGCTCAGAAGGGAAATTGGTCTGTAGTTCTTCAAGAGCGTTGTCACCTTTCTTGAAGAACCACCGCACTTCTGCTCCACGCCTCCGGAGTAGTGGCACCATGGAGGACGGAATTGAAGAGCCTCTGAAGGACTTTAAGTACCGGTGTTCCACCCGCTTTCAGAAGCTCCGCTGTAATTCCATCCTCGCCTGGGGCCCTGCCGTTTTTAAGGTGCTGGACAGCCGTTATAATCTCGCTCAGACTGATGTCCAGGATATCATCGGAATAGTGTCGGATAAGACTTGCTCTAGGATCGTTACTCACACTTGCGTGTGGCTCCAACGATGATGTGTACAGCTGCCTATAGTACCTTTTAATCTCACTCAAAATCTTCCGGAAGCGATGCTGCCACACTCAGTCTTCAGCTTTGATAGTTGGGTCTTTCTGGCAGACAGATCTCTAGCAAAGACTTTGGAGCCCTGGTTCCGTTCGATCGCTTCTTCAATACGAGCAGTATTAAATTTGCGTAAGTCCCGCCGCATGCATTTGGAGATCTGTCTGTTCAATTGCTTGTATGCTGTCAAATCTGTTGACGATTGCAGCCTCATCTCTCGTCCAACAGCCATGAGATTAAGAGTGTGATTGGAGAGTTTTTGTGTTCTTCTGTGGCGGGTCTTGCAGAACTTAGCTCCGACCGCATGGACAGTTTCCACGAGCTTGTCATTCATATCTTCCACTGCATTGCAATCCTCTAGGCACTGAAAGCGGTTTTAGTAACTCGAGCTGAAATGTTTCGGGATTCTGGATTAGAGCACGAGGGAGACGGAGCGTTGACTTCATTAGACGAGACCTCTCCATCTTAACGTTTAGGTTCAGTGTGCCTCTAACCATTCGGTGAGCGCTGCCAGTTTTCACCCTTGCGATCACTGAGACATCACTGAACAGTTGGCGTCTGGCCGTCATAATGAAGTCAATCTCATTTTTTGTCGAACCGTCGGGGCTCGGCCAGGTCCACTTTCTGTGGGGCCGCTTCTAGAAGAAAGAGTTCATCATAAATAGTCCCTCTTTCTCCATGAAGTCGGCCAGTTGCTGGCCCCTTAGGTTCCGTTACCCTATCCCAAATTTCCCTACCTTCAGCTCACCGTTCTTTCTTGTGCCTAGTTTTGCGTTGAAGTCTCCCATTAACACCGTATAGTGAGTTTTGGAGGAATGCATGGCTCTAGAAATATACTCATACATTTCCTCCACCTCCTCATCGGCATGTTCCGATGTAGGTGCGTAAACCTGTATGACCTTCAGCGAATACCGTTTGGTGATTCTTAGAATAAGGTACGCAACCCTCGTCGACGCACTCCCAATCTTTACAACGCTGTTAACGAGAGTCTTGTGGACGATAAATCCAACACCTCCTTGGGACAGATGGTCGCCCGATGATAGAATAAGTTGCCGGATTCAAGAATCACCGTTTCTCCCCCTCTCTTCGAACCTCTTCTAGCGCATTGTCTATCTCTTCTTCTTTCTCGTCAGTCCTCAGGGCGCGTGCGTTATATGCTGCCAGGTCAAGTCGTCGTAGGTGGCAACCGAACCTCCACCGGAGATTCTTAGCACCCCCTGCCCCGCCGTTACCGTGGTCGCCACCGTAGCCTGGAATAGCGGGGTCGCCGGGGACTGGGGGCCGTTTCTTCGTAACTATCAGGGAGGGTAAATTGCCATAGTTGCCACGCTTGGTGAGCGGGCTGGCAACCGCAGTTTTTTTCTTTACAGTTGCTGCTATCAGGAAGATGCTGCTGCCCATCTCCTGCCTGTTTCCCTCTGTCGCCTTTTACGACACCCACGGGAAGATATGGGGTAGTGGATATTCTTAACCGCCACTACACGGCATTTTTTTAATATAGCTTAGTTCACTTAAAGCGGTAACAATATTAAAACTTTAATAAACGACCATCGACATCAAAAACTAAAAAGAATAAAATATTTTTATACGTGTTAAAGCCATGCTGCAGCTATATTAGGTTGTAGCATTAATGGGTCGACTTGACCGGGGAAGGACCACGCTATTACAGAATACCAGCGTAAAACAGTAGCCTAAGGACTACGCCACACTAAATGGAAATTCCGTCGCAGTTCTTCCGCGATGGAACGCTAATACATTTTATTACATATAAATTACTATTAACGAACATACACGCGGAAGATCGGTCAGTCCTTATGTGGATCCGTTATCAATCATTTTGACAGACACAGAAAATTTGCGACAGAATTTCCGTCCAGCGTGGCATAGACCTGGTGCTGTATTTCGTATGGTGAGTGTATAGAACCGAAGACCCTTTTTACTGGAAATTAAGCACTCCATCTTAGTTCTCAGGGGTGACAACGCACCTGAATTTTGATTCTAATTTGAATTCTCATTGAAAATAAGTGATGCAGTGACCCATAGACGTCTATCTATGAGCCACAGCATCCATTTACCATAAAGTGGACTGTGTGCTTGTTTGTCACCTTATTCAAATACAAATATTTTCTCATAATAAATAGCTTCTGAGGTCTGCTTTTTGAATTTTCGCTAAACTGTTTCTTTGCTTTCAGCATTTAAAAAAAAATAAAGTTGTTGTTAATTTTTGTTATTTGTAATGTTTCAAAGATCAATCAGTAGGTGCTTAATATTAAAATAATAAAAATTCTAGAGTCATTAGTAAGTGAAGGATGCTCTCTTCTATGATAAAAATGAGCTATAAGTATATGGCAAACTCTGTTGGGTAGGGTGTACAACCTGCCAACTCACTTGAGACTTCGCTCGGATGGATATACGCGCTTTGTACTAACTGCAAAAAGTAGTAGTTTTTCTAATAATATCGAGTATTAATTCATTTATTGTGGGTGGCTGGGTGCTATATAAAATTGAAAAATGTAAGTTTTATTTTAGTGTGCAATTAAACAGCTTTTATTTTGCATTAAAAAAGAATTAGATAATTCATATAATTTCATTCACACTGTCATTACTTAAATCTGTCATTAGCTAGCCATACACAGCAGATTTACCCGACAGATCTGTATGTCAGACATGCCCGGCTCTGCTAATGGCGAGGTTCAGGCACGGATTTACCTTCCTAATTTCTGCCCGCTGCCCGTGCTCAGAACCAACGGTTCGAGCATGAGCTTCGAACGTCAAATGTGCGTGCGTGCGTGCGTGCGTGCGTAACAACAGATATTTAGACAGGGGAGAGCGTATTCCGCTCGGGTTTTTTTAAACTGTAGTGGGAAACTGATATCTTTAAGCGACGTAAAAAGAATGGGTTTTTCAAATCGGTTGTATGTTTCAAATGTATATGTAACTGAACATCTTTAAGAATAGTTAAGGGAATTTGTTTTAAAGAATGTTTACAGTTATCTCAATATTCACCCTGATCTAATAATTATAGTTAGGTAATAATGTTATTCTTCTGTTTTATCAGCTTGTAAAATTCTACTGCTTGATGTGGGCTTCTACCGTAGGCAGAATTTGCTTCTCGCTAAATTTGTTAATCGCCACGCTGGCTAGATGGATCAGATGCACCTTTGTTGTTGCTTTCCGTTGCTGATCTGGTTATTTTACATCTAGCGTTGAGATGTTAATACCGCCATCTATTAAGATATTTCTAGTATTACCTATAGTCGCCTCTCACGACAAGCACGCGTCGAAATAGGGTGTGCAGATGGTAGTGTCGAAATAAATATTTTATTTACAATAATGAGATACTAATTTGTTTTTTTTTTTAATTTTAGAGAATTTTGGAAATGAAGAGAAAAAGCCACCAGATCGTGTTTCCACTTCTGTTGTTTCATCAGACGGTATGCTTTTAACTGTTTTAATTAAAGTGTTAAATTTTATATTATTTGTATGTGTTCTAATAATATTTTATTACTGTACACAGGTTTTACGTGCTCCATCTGTGGGCAGTTATTTTTACCATCATTTTATGAGGAACATAAACTTAACTGCATTGTAAAAGATTTTGAGTTATCAAACGACAAACCCTTTGATTTATCGTCAAAATTAAAAAAAGAAGAATTTGAAACTAGTAATAAAAGTGACTTACTCAGTGCTTCGAAAATCACTGACGAATATCTAAGTACCTGTACAGCTGTTTTGGGGAAGTGTCTAGTAACTGGTGATACAAGTGTGAGTTCAAATTGTTTATGTGCTCAGATGGTTAAGCCTGATGATAACTATGATAAGACAATTGAAAAAACAAACACAAATACTGATATAAAAGAAATTGACAATGCAACGAAAACATGCGAAAGCTGTTCCTGTTCGACCGCAAAGACAGAAGAAAAATTTACAAGTCGTGTAAATGTGGTCGTCGGTCAGAAAATTAAAAAGTCAAACAGGAACAATTGCATGCCAGATTTTGAATATGCAACTGATGGAACAGTTAAAGTTAGAAATACAATTGACCCACAATTTGAATGTATGGCTAATAAATATTATAACAACATAACGAAAAGGAAAGTGGATTTTAGAGATAGGACTAATGAATCTACAATACCCTACAATAGCTGCAAGGCTGTTTTGGGTAAATGTATAGTAAGCGAAAATGGTATGATAAATGACGATTGTCTATGTGCAAAAATGCTTATCGATGAAGGGCAAATGACAAGTCAAGAAATTGAGGAAATCACGCCGCATCCTAATTGTTTTAGTCTGTGACATGGTTAAATTTTAACAATAAAAGTTATTATTTTGGATTAAATGAGATGAGCAAGATAATTATTAACTTTAAATTTATTTACAACATAATTCTTTACAGTTTCAACCATATTATACAAAATATATCTTAGTTAACAAGATCTACAATAATTATTATTTTACAATTAGACATACCACTGCTTAATATCACTAAGGTCAGGATATTTCTGTATGAATGGAATATTATATAATTTATTTCCATGATATCACATTAACACATGGCAGAATAGTATCAATTTAAGAAGTAAAACTTTGTTAATTCTTATACTTTAGTCTATACCCAAAAATTAAGTTCTTTAAATTATTATAATATACATTTATCTATGGTAACAATTTATAAAAGAATGAAATAAAGCAATCGAAAAGGAATACATAATTTCAAAAAAGTTTCATAAATTTTTGGTTGTCTATGTAAGTATACTTAAACAATAAATAGGTTTTTCATGATCGTGATGATGACTTTTTATACTTTGACTAGTCTAATGACTCTTATGGAAACAAATATGTTTATACTTGGATTTTTCAAAGTAGTTTTGAATCGCTTTAAAATTGACCTTTAAAATTTTTACCTACATAATTACACTGTCAACGGAACAACATTGGAACACTAAAGTCTGTTAGTAGTTATATTGTTTGATATAATCACAGGAAATGGAATCATGTACAAACTTAGAATGTAAGGTGGCTAATGTGAAACATACACTATGCCTCATTATTAATAACGGAATTAATATTGCTTGGCTCCACTGTCCTTCTATCACTCTTTTTTGGCGAATCACTGATCAAATTAAGTTCTGGAAAATTTTCTCTCTCATAATTAGTTTTTAGATTTTCTTTTTTCTCCAAACTTTCCTGATCTATGGGTACTACACTGAGGAACGCATTTTCCTCACCGATTTTTGACTTAGTTTCTGTAGTTGTTTCATACAATTCTTTTGGCGTTAATACAGTTTCTAATTTTCTGCTGATTTCAGATTTCATTTTTTCAGTATCGAAAAGTTCTTTAGTGTCTAAATCGTCTGTGTCTAATAAAAATGTTGAAATAGGTATAGCTTCTGATGATTCTTTACTTTCGTTATCTAGCTGAACAATAGACGACGGAGTTGTATCTGTGTCCTTAATAATGTCAAATAATGGTCGTGACTCTTCCTCAGTTGAATGGGAGTTATTTTGCGTTAATAGGTTACTAAATGTTTCATCATTTAAATACATTTTATGTTGTTCTGATGATGAAGTAGTCCCATTACTGAGATGCACAGTCCGATTATATATCATGTTTCCGTCTGGGGAGCCATGAGGTTGTTCCTCGGTGTTCTCATTTTGCGTTTCATTTACACTTAAGGGCTCTAGGTCGTGGCCTTCTTGAAGTTTCTTTACAAGACTTTTATTATTTTCGATTTCTGGCAAGAATGGATTCATTTCTGTTTCGTGATCATCGTATTCAGCCGATTGATGACTTACAGATTTTTCCACACTGTGATTGTCGCTGTGGTTAGATATTTCATAAATGGTAACATTTAAATTGTTTCCTTGGGTGACGTTATCCGTTAGGATAGGAGATTCAAAGGCATTCACAATTTCTTCATTGTCATTTTGTGGCAAGTTAACTGTTATGGATGTTGGCGAAATAGTTGTGGAGAATTCTGATTGCGCTAAAGTAACATCTATGATTTGCTTTGGTAATTCTTTAACGGTGAAGTTCATGTCATCTTCTGAATTCTCCCAGACTGGGGGAACAGGATGAGTTGTAATTGTATTTGATGTAGAAATTGAGTTATTATTTGAATCATTTAATGAAATTTTATATATGTATTCACTTACAGTAGTGGTCTCAAAAACCTTTTCCTTTTCAGTTGTGGGTTTATCTATAGTTACATTTTCTTCGATTTGGTTGTTTTGATTAGTGGCTTCAATCATGTTATGTTTAGAAGTTTCGATATCTTCATCTTTACCAGGTTCATTTTTTACCCTTTTAATTGCCGATTCTTCATTGTCATAATCCTGTATCATGCCATACAGTGGCTCATCATGTTCTAAATTTTTTGAGATATTAGAACCCATATTTAAATAATCTGGTTCAAAATCATCTTTATTCTGGCCACGGCCCATTAAATCATCAAATTTCGTTACTGGTGCTTCTGTTGTTTTGAAAATATTGTTTTCATTTATTATTTCTTGATAGTTTATTTCTGTAACAGTTTCAGATAGCCAATCGGAGCTAGTAGTCGTTTCTGCTGTTTCCCTCAAAACGTCGTTCATTTCTGTTGTTTGTTCAATATTACTTTGATTTCCAAAAGATTTAGAGGATCTGTTATATAGTTTACTGATGGCATCGAAGGTAATGTCTCCTTCAGAGAAATCTTTTTCTGTTGTTCCATTATTTTGTATTTTTGTATTATGTAAGTCAGTGGCGTTATTCTTTTGAAGGACTGTCATCAAATTTTGGTCTATATTAAAATCTTTATTTTGTTTAGTTATTGAATATACTGTGAGTGTTTCCAATGCTGGCGTGGTGGTCTCGATATGTTCTAATTTTGTTAAATTTATTGGAACATTTTCAAAAAGAGATTTGTCAAGTTTTTGTTCTTTGTCATCATTCGCATTAATAACTACGGATCTATTATTGAACATTTCTCTTGTTTCTTCGACTCCTGTCAGTATTGCCATAGTTGTAGTTTCCATAGACTCGTTGTTCATAGATTCATTGTCTTTAGATTTTCTCCCGGCGAATATATTTGAAATAGATACTACAGATGTAGTTTGATCGATCAACTCATCTATATTTTCTATTGTAGTCTTTTTTGTGGAAGGTTGTTCATCACTTTTTGTAATTTGGTCAAATAATAAATCATCGAATGTTGTATTTGTTCTTTCTTTGTCTTCTTCAAGATGTTGTATGGTTGTCGTTTGACGAGTTGTTTCTTCACTAAAAAGTTCACTGTCAAATGTCTTAGAAGATCTCTGGTCCGTAGCTCGATTGAAATCCAGTTCTATACTGTGGTTTAACAATACGGTATTATCTTCAGTGTTCGTATCACTTAAAAGAGTTTGTGATTTTTGAGTATTGTTTTCAAGCCAGTCATTTTCAGTAGTGGATATTTTATCACTATTACTTGATTTTGGAGAAACGCTTTCGTTAAAATTAGAAATAATTTCGGATGTACTTTCAGGTTGATAAGTAGTATGAGGTTCAGAAACTGGTATTGTTGTAGTTTCAAATTGATCACCGTGATTATCATCAGATTTAAAATCATATTTTCCTTCAGATATAAATACCGATGGTACATCAGTAGTAGTAAAATTCTCAATGTGGTCTGACGCTGCGAAGTTTGTTGATATTTTAGGTTCCGATGACATATCGTTTTCTACACCAGATTGTGAATTCGTGTAGGTATTGTATGACATGAGTTCTGTAGTTGGTTGTGGTTCAGGCGTCGGTCGCGGCTCCGATAAAGTTGTAAATATTGGCCTATAATCTGGAAGGGGTGCAGGTTCTGGGTTTGGATTAGGATCAGTCTCATCTAGTTCACTGTCTTGATTTTTATTTTTCTGTTCGTAGCTTACAGTAACTGGATTAAAATCTGTATGGAGTTCCAGCGTTGGTTCTGGTTCTGCGGTAGGTTCATGAGCGGTTGTTGTTAATGATTGCTCTGATACTGTTGTAGCATTAGTTTTTGGCTTTAGAGAAGTACTTTGTAAAATATTCATATCTAGTGTGGAAATTGTATTATGTTCTTCATTTGACTCCGGTTGTTGCTTTGAAAAGTCGGTTTCGTCTTCTTTATTTTCGTTACTAGGGTTACCAAAAATATGAGAAAAGTTTAGGTCACCATCATTTTCTGTCGTTGTTTCAGAAGTATCATGATTTCTTTCTTTCCAGTCGAATGTATTTTGTTTCGTTTCGTTAGATACAATGTGAACAGATTCAGTATAGGGTTTTTCTTCTTCTGAAATAGGGTTTGATATATTAATGTTTGATGTGGAAATGCCTTCGTGTGACGTGTTCTCTATTCGTTCCGAATTGTCTAATAATAACATGCATTTTTTGGGTTGTTTCATATCATGAATTTGGCCGTGTGGACACGTGCATATAAAGTCGAGAGTTCTTTTGTCGAATTCGCATCCATATTCACAGCCATTATTGTTAATTTGACAGATATCCAGAACTGGTCTTGTTAACATTTTATCTTCGGCTATATGATAGATGCTTATCATTCTATTGTTTTGTGCGAGGTAGTTGTTCAAATTCGCTTTTAGAGTACTTGTTGTTAGTAAATCCTCAGAAGGTTTAGCGTTGTATCTTGGATTCCAGTGAATTCGGTATGTAACTACGATGGAACCACTCCTGTAAATTAATAAATAATTAAATATTGGCATGAAACACATTATGTATTGATATTTGTTTAAAAAGTTAGCTGAAATTTTTACCTTATTTTAACAACTTCAATTGTAATATCATTATCTCCATTCTCCAAAGTGTTTCTATCAAATAAGGCACGCTTTAGGGCATCACTGAATGTAGCGACAAACTCTCGATAGTCGTCACTTTCAGGGTCTTCAAGTGCCGCCGTAAATTCTTCGTTGTCGATTTCTAATTCACCTTCTAATGTTCTTGGTACTATAAAAAAGGTTGAAAAACAATAATTGTAATAAGTTCTTTCAAATTCTAACACAGTCGTTTGATTTTTGAAATGATTTCTTATACATTTATTACGTTATGATATACTCAATATTAGGGATCTATATGATGTCCTCTTCATCATATAATATTTGGCATGTTTGCTTTGCTTGGCAGGACGACAACTGAAGTTGTTTTGTTACTTTGAGTTGTTATCGGAAGGATGCACCTGCCTATCTCCTGTAGGATAGACATTTATTACATGACGAAAGTTAATGCGAAATCAGAATTGTAGGTATTGTTTTATTCATAACTAATTTTCTCTAAAAATGAGTGCAATACA